CCACCCTCCCGCCCCTCCGGTCCGGCAGCAGCAGCTTTGCCGCCAGAGAGCAGCGCAGAAATTTCTGCTGAGCCATTTTCTCTGTCCAAGGCGAGCGAAGGGCCCGCGCCCCGCATGCACCCCTCGCTGTGCTGCAGGGAGGAGCAGGGGCCAGCCAGGAGGGTGGCAGGAGGCTGAAGCCATGCTCCGTGTCTTGCTTTCATGCCTGATCCAGGCTTGGAAAAGAGGGGCTGGGGAGCGGAGGAGACAGGGCACCCTCCCTCCTGGGTATCTTCTGTTGGCGTGGTGCTTTCAGGATGGAGATGAGCTTGTTTTCTTCCTTGTGACCACAGGACCCAGCAGAGCTTGGACGATGGCTGAGCATCTTGCAGGAGTGCAGGGACCCAGGCAGGCAGGGGAAGCATGCCCTGCCTGGAGCCAAACAGGAGAGCCGAGGGCAGCAGGAGGGGAAAATCAGCGCAGGGTGCTTGGCACCGAACTTGCTAGCAGGCCAGGGGAGAGGGGATCTCTGTGAGACATTTGCCTGCACCAAAACCCCTCCCTTTTATCCCCCTTTTAGTTTTTCTTGGAGCACAGCAGCAGCGTCTCACGTTGTCGCCGTCATGGGATTTTTAGGCAGTGACTAAACAGAGTTTGTTTGGGAACAAACAGCCTGGAGACATGACGAATGGAACAAACTCAAATTTCAGGCATGTGCTCTCCTCCCTGGGCAGGGGATAGCTGTAACGGGATTGCCAGCCCTGGGTGCTGCCGTGGTGGCACTCAGGGGCTAGATGCGGCGTTCCCAAGGGCAGGAGCATTAAAAGGAGCTCCTGTGCCCAGCAGGGGCATGTCAATCCTGGGATATCAGGCTCTGTTCTCTGCCTAAGCCAAACTCTGGGTGTTATTTTTCAGCAGTTTCCCTGCATCATCCCGTGAGCCTTGGTAAAATCACAGGCGAGCGGCTCTGGGCCCATAAGCCAGATTCCTGGTTTATATAGGTTATGTAGGTTATAAACCATGCTGCCTTTATCACACAGAGCTCTCTCATCCTGGCCTGACAAGCTGGGATGCTGGCTGGAGTTTGCACGAGCTGATGTCTTCATTGGGACCCTCCTGCAGTGGGTTTTACACCCTGCAGAGCAAGGTCGGTCTCCCGAACCACCCGGTTCAGTCCAAATTCGGAGCTGGCACCCCGGAGCCACGCAGACGTCGTTACCCTGGCACGACCAGCAGAAACCTCCCTTGGTGCCCTTTGTGCCAGGTAGCGCTCAGCTCCATTACTCGCTGCCCTAAAATTAGTAAATGAACAGTCAGATTTTTCCCAAGGAATTGGCTGTAAAAGAAATTCAGCTGGGGGTGCTCAGTGCCAGGCTTGTCCTGCTGGGCAGCATGCCTGGAGCTGCAAAGCATGGGGAGGAGGATGCAACAGCCGGGAAGGAGCTGGGCTGGGGGTCCCCACATCCTTGGAGGAGGACTGAACCACAGACACCCAGGCAATGAGCTGCCGTGGGGGACCAGCCGGGTCCAGGCCTCCCTGGGCACAGCAAAGCTGCTCCCTCAGCTGGCAACAGCCTGGAGATGATGAGCAGGAGGTTTCTCGTGCCGGCATTGCTGCCTTGAACAGCCTGTCCTGCCCCGTAACACCCTCCGTGCTTCCTCTCCCCAAGCCCGACCCGCCACTGATGACTTTTTCATGCTCTCCGGAAAGCATGTTTGTGCTTGGAAATACCTTCCCGCTTTGTTTGCCGCCGCTGCATTGTTCGGCTCCAGGCTGATACTATCTCTTCTCCTGCTTTACAGCATTTTTGTAGTACCCTTGGGTGATGCTCGCGCTGGGGCGGGGTTGGGGTTCTGAACCTCTGCAGGCAGCTTTTGGCAGGGCAGACTTTTTTTGTCTGTCCCTTCAGTCCCCAAAGGCCACTGCACTCCCTTGCCCCCGGCACTATCTCACCTCTGAATCAAGGGGTTTTTCCAAACAATTGCAAAACCCAGCATGCTGGAGCTTTGCTTTACCCTTCCTTCCCCAGAAACCTGGGGAAGAGCAAACAGCTCACTGGCCTTGGTGCCACAAACTCGCCCTTCCACTCACTGCAAGCTCTTGGGCTTGATAGAGGGGAGCCGCGGGGGCCACCTTGATGTATGCAGTGTGCAAGCCCCGTCCCACCAGTTCTGCTCGTCCTCTGTTTCCTTGCTTGGGGCGGGAGGGCTTCACCAAAGGTCTTTGCCCTTTTGCAGGCACAAAAGTGGTGAGATGGGGTCATCGGCAGGCTTTGAAACTGCCACCTGCTTCTTGCCAAAGGCTCAGAGCCAAGCGTGGGTCCTCAGCAGCCTCCGGCGCTCCCTGGCTCCCGGCACAGTCCTTGCGTGAACCCTGTGGCAGGCGTTCATGCCACGGCATTCATGCCACGGCTTTACCAGGACGCCAGCTGCTTGCCAGGACTGGGGTTTTCCCGCTGTTGGTGAGAAAGGAGGGATGTGTTAATGAGCAACGAGGAGGCTGGAGGAGCTTCGAGAGGGACATGCGTGAGTGAGTGTGCAGTTCTGGGCCGACTCTGGGTGACCTCCAGAGATCCCTCCTGGCCTGGGTATTTTTTTTATTCCCCCTCCCCCATGATAAGGCAATGGCAGGGCTCCCATCCACTTGCTGCCATCCATCAGGCAGGAGGCAGCGGCCGAGTGCCCTGGCAATAAACGCCCCTCTTAGCCCTGAAACCAAATCATGGTGGCTGCCTTCGTTTGTCAGCTGGGGTTGCTCCTGCAGCATAGCTCCATAAACCATCAATCCTCATGTATTTCGGGAGGGTGGGCAGAGGCTGGTGATGCTGGGCGTTTCTGACCTGCTGGTGCCTTGTGTTTAACTGCTGCCTCGAGCTCAAGCGCTGCCTCAGCCGGAGCAGATAATACATATTTCCGTAATTTCCCCCATAGCCTTCATAGAAGAGCCACAGTGCTGTTGGGAAATTGTGGTTACCGTGAAAAGAAAGTGTTAGAGAGGGGGGGAAAAGTGTTTCCTCTGCTGGCAGATAAAGAGGAGCTTCACTGCTGGGCCTTGGAGCATCCTCCTGCGTGGGGATGCCGTGATAGGGGTGAGCAGGAAGATGTGATGCCGTGGTGGGTGGAGATGTCTCTGTCATATCCCCGTGGTTGGGGAGGGGGGGAGTGTCCCACTCCAGGGAGAGCCGGTTTTCCCTGGGGACTCGCTTGCCTGGCATGTGTGTCCTTGCTGAGCTTTGAAGCCAGCCGGGTGTTGGCAGGATCAGGGTTTCCACCTTCCTCACGTCTCAGATTTGAGGCAACAGGTCAGATGGAGGACATCAGTGCTCTTGCGGGGTGGCCGGGTTGGCCGGGGCTCCCAGGGGCCGCGGGCTGGAGGTGTGAGCATGGGACGCTCTCTCCCTCCCCCAGATTTGCCCACAAGTCCCCATGACTCTCAAAGCCCAGCTCATTTTAATGGTTTTACAGGCAGGAGACGGATGGGAGCTGTCGGTACCCCATGACTGCAGCGTGCCGTCCCCAGCAGCACAGCCCCGAGGTCCTGGCTCAGATCCTGCATGGTTTAAAACCTCATCCGAGGGCGTGGGGGTAATCCCGGCCCTGGGGCAGTCAGTGCTCCCTGGTGCGGAAGTGCCCCCCCAGGATTTTTGGCAGGGCAGTGTGAGGCTGGGACAGCCCAGCTCCATCCCTGGGGGCTTCTGCTCACCAGGGGGGTTGCAGCCAAACCTGGGCCCAGCCCTCGGAGCATCCCTTGTGGGGAGCACTGCCAGGCTCGCATGGGAAACATGCAGGGTCGCGTCCCGGGGGACTTGGCCTCCCCCACCAGCTGGGAGATGTCACCGGCCCCGATAGGAGCTGGGTATGTTAACTCCGGCTTGCTGGGGCTCTGGCGGTCCAGAGAAGGCAAAGCTTTTGTGCTGGAGCTGTGAGTTGCTCTTTGCTGTCTTTGAGTGCCCTGGAGGATGCCCTGGCGGATACAGGGATGCCTGAGGGGATGTAGGGATGCCCAGGGGAGCCCTTCCACTTGTAGGAATTGAAGCTTTCCCCAGCAAGGAAACCCTGAGGGGGGTCAGCATTCGGGATACCCGCACCATGGAGGCAGAGCTGGCAGCCCAGGAGCGCTGGCCTGGTGCCAGCAGCCTGTGTTTGGTGCACATTGCCATGGCCAGCTGGCGTGGCCAGCAACCGCGGGAGGTGGAGCGGGATGCTAACAACATAACAACTGTGTCCAACCCAGCAGCAGTGCCCTGCCAAATTGCCCGCTATCCCAAGGTTTAGTCAGGATCATTAATTATTTTAATGTACTTGGCATCTTTTTCATTGCTCTCTGGTTTTAATGTCATGCTTGCGGTGAAGTCACATGCGTGAGCTCTTGCACGATCCTGTGACTCAAGGAAATGGGGCTTTCGTGGAAGGCAACCCCAGAGAGATGCAGGAGCCATACCCAGTGTTGCTGTGGGTCGCCAGCCTGCCCAAGGGTGGCCAGGGCAGGGTTTCATATAAAGCCCAATGATAGGGTTTTATCCCTGGTCCTCAGCTCCCCAGGTGGTTATGCAGCACTGCTGTGCGGATTTGGGAAGGAGCATCAGTTCCTCAGTGGTGGGGTGAGTGGGGTGGGGGGGAGGACTACAAACGCTTTAGGAAGGGGACCCTGGGGTGGCAGAGGTGCTGGCAAGGCCAGGCAGGCACTGCCCTCCCTCTGCCTTCACTCATGTCTGGCTGCAAACTGCCCTGGCCCGTGGGGAGCTCGCCCAGGAGCCCTGCCTGGGTGCTTCTGGGTCCCAGGTGGCTCAGGGGCTTTGTAGGTGCCATGCCTAGAGCACCTCTGGGTGCTGTGCCCACTGGCTGGCATGCACTGTGGGTGCTGCACATGGACTTTTGGGGGAGATGCTCTCGCACCACCCTTGCCTCAGGCTGTGCTTTTCCCCATCTTTCTGAAAGATGCCACATGGCTGCAGGCTGAGTCAGAGGCTGTGTCAGCTGGGGGACGTCCCTGTGGGATTTGCCCTGTTTTGGGGTGTCCCTGGCTGGGCCGGGTGCCTTGGCAGCTCCCGCAGAGCCTAGTCCCTGCAGGCGGAGGCGATTCATCTGCCCAGGGAGGAGACGGATCCAGTCGCACCCCGGCTGACTAAGGGGAGCCCCAGGGCATGGATCAGCCTCTTGCCATGGCTCCCACCCAAGGAATTGCTAAGGAGCCCAGCGGCAGTGGCGGGGCCACCTCATTCTGCCTTTTCACAGCCTGGGGCTCCATGTTTCTCCCCAGGCTGCCACTGGGCTGGGGCTGAGGGTGCCAGGGCATCTCCCCACAGGGCCAGCGCTCGGGGACAGGGTGGGACCTGCCGCCTCGCTCCGGGATGCGGCTGCCTGGTGGGTTCGGTATGGGGAGGAGGGTGACCTGGGAATGCTGCACCCTCTGGGAGGGCTGTGGTGGGCATGGGGGCTCAGCCAGGCTGTCTGCACCCCCAGCTGGAGGACTGCACGCTGCAGGTCTCACCCTCCGGACACTACCTGGACCTCGACTTGTCCCTGCTGGAGCAGAAGGATGATCTGGAGGGTTTCTACGAGGAGGTCAGGTGAGGCACATGGGGTGCCCAAGCCCTGTGGGGATGGGATGTGGGGACCCCCACATGTGTGTGAGTGCCGGGGGCTGTGGACAGGGGGGCTGGGGCTGCAGTGGTCCTGCTGCAGGTGCTCATGCAGCATTTCCCCCCCACCCTAGGAAGGGGAGACGGCCAACTCTGATCCTGCGCACGCAGCTCTCTGTCCGAGTCCACGCCATCATTGGTGAGTTGGGGATGCTCCTTCCTCCAGGCTGGTGTGGGTCTGGCAGCTTGGCACCCCCCGGATGGTGGGAGTTTGGTCTCCATGGTGAGTTTTGGCCGGGCTTTTTGTGATGGAGAGAGGGAGCGATACAGCCCAGGACTGTTCCTGCCCCACAACCCTCCCAGAGGTGCAGAGGACATGGTCCCCATGAAGCTTGTGGGGGCCCGCTGGGTTAATCCACTCCATCCTCCATGATCGGGACTTCTACCTTTTCAGCTGCGAGCCCACCGCCTGCTGCAGATATCCTGGGTCGTTCAGGCGAGCTCTAAATATAGCTTTGCAGGATACGAACAAACAGCTCAAGCACGGCAGAAAGCGCTGCTGCGGCTTTGGGCAGCCCGCTCGGAGGTCCTGCGAAATATTCGGGAGCAGGGGGGAAGACAAGCGCTGAGCAGAGCAATGCCAGCCGGGCATCGGCTTCCTGAACGGCGTGGGAAGGGACGCAGCACGGAGCCCTCTCTCTGCAGGAAGGCTGGGGTCGGGGTCGTGCTTTTTGCTGGCGGTTCCCAGGCTTTGGCTGAGCCCTGGGCTGCTCTGCTTTCCCTCTGGGCTGCTCTGCTTTCCCTCTGGGCTGCTCTGACAAGCCAATAAGTGAGCAGAGGCGGCTGCTGGGACCCGGTGTTTTGCAGAGCCCCCATCGGCATGTCTGGAGGGCTCCTTGGACAGCTTGTTTATGGCTTGTCACAACTCTAAAGCTGACCCAAATAACTCAGGATACTCAGATAACTCAATTTTTGGATGCGGGAAGCACTGGCTCCTGATGCCTTTGGTCTCCACTAGTTTAAGCAGGGCTTTCTGGCTTCCCATTGCCCTGGACTGCTCCATGCTGGCTCCTGCCCACAGGCGCCATCCCCGTGAGCACGTAGGCTCCATCCAGCCTCCAGCCGGGTGACCGTCCTTTTGTCCCCTGAGCAGCTGGTGTCACGCTGCCGTCCTTCCTGTCCCCATCCTGTGGCTCTTCCCAAGCCATGGAGCTGCTGGGGTCTCCGGGACCGTGCCAGGGCTGTGCCCCAGGGAGGGACAGCTAAAAGTAGCTCTGCCTCCTGCCTGGGTTCCTGTTTCGGTTCTGCACAGGAAACCAGAGGGGATATATTTATATCATTGCTGGGCAGAGGAAAAAAAAAAAAGGAAAAAGCAAATAGGGAGGTGACAGGGCTGAAATAAGTAGTTGTGGAGCTGCAGCTGCTCCACCCTGTGGTGTCCGACAGCCAGGCAGTGCCGGCAACCTGGGGGGACCGCACACGGGTTGAG